GGGGGGGGGGGCAAAGGGAGAGAGAGAGAATCTTAAGAGACTCCATGCCCAGCACAAAGCACAACTCGGGGCTCAATCTCACCACAATGAGATCATGACCTGAGCCAAAATCAAGAGATGGAAGCTTAACTGACAGAGTCACCCAGGTGCTGTGGTCTGTTCACATTTTAAAACAAACATCCAAGTGCACTGTGGGAAATGACCTAGAGCAGGCAAGACTGGGAGCCAGGAGACTCCATAGGAGGCTCTCGAGATAGTCTAGGCAGTGATGTGATGAAGGCACAGGCCAAGCAGTGGCTTAGAAAGGAACGCACCGATGAGAGGATTGTTGAGGAGAGATCAGCTGCACTCACCTCCCAGTCCTGGGTCTCCACTCAAAAATAGGGCAGCTGTCTTGGAGAGAGCTCTGGGACTGCAGCATTTAAGGGGTGGGTGGAGGGAGTGGACAGGAAAGAGTTTTGGAAAGAAGACTTCAGGAGGTGGGAGGCAAGCTAGAAGAGAGGGACAGATGCCCTGGGAGGAGTGAGTTTGAAGGAGGAGGGATGGTCAAACTCAGTAGGGAGATCAGGTCAAATTAGGATGGGGATGTCCACTGGTTTGGCCATATATAGACCCCTGGTGACCCTGGTGATGGAGAGGCTGGGCAGAAAAGAGTGAGGTGACTGACGAGGTCCGTGAAGAGTGCAGATTGGGATCCAGAAGGACCCTGTCCCCGGGAGCCTGCAGGAAAGGCCATGAGGGCAGAAGCAGATAGAAATCCTCAAAGGAAAAGGAGCTGGCTCATGCTACATGGGCTCCTTGCCACCAGGGATGTGGAGGGCAAGGCCATTTGCTGAGAAAGAAGGGCCTGGTGGCAGGGGAGGGGAGAGGTGACAAGGGACAGAGAGGTCAATGGCCTGAGGGCTCTGCTGAGGTTGGAGACCACAGGTCTGAACTGTCATCAGCTTGTGTGGTCGTGTGTCTTTTCTCCGGCTATAGGTACAGAGTCATAGATGGGACACCGGGCCCACCCAGGGCTGGGGATGGCAAAGCTGCCATGAGGGCAAGACCAGGGGGCACAGAAGATGCCGGGAAGGGTGGCGGAGGTGGTACACTGAAGGATCAGGCTGGATTGGGAGGCAGTGAGGCTGGAAAGATGGTGGTGACCATGGAGGAGAGGCAGGGGTCACAGGCTGAGGCTCAAAGAAGTTAAGGGCAGGTGCTGTAAGAGAGAGATAGCAGGGGCTGAGATTGCAGAGGAGGGGTGTGTGGGGGGGTGGCCAGATGGGGTATATAGCTGTGGAAATGAATTTCCAAAGAGAACTGTGAGAAGCCAGCAGGAAGGAGCCCGAGGGAGCCCAGTGTTAGGGGATAATATCACTTACTAAATGTTAGACACAGGTTCAAATTCTTCACATATATTATCTCATTGAACCTGGCCTCTATAACCCATTGGTATTGGTATTATGCTCTTTTTACAGTGGAGAAAACTGAAGCGCAGGTGTGAAAGAACCTGCTGGTCACTGGGGAACCTAGGACCAGAGGGATGCCCGGAGCCGGAGCTGGGGTTCTAGCCATTACACTAACCTGCTTGGCGGGGGTTATCAGGAGGTGCCCACAGTTGTCTCCCCTCTCTGGGAGCCAGTCTGGGTCACAGGAGGGAGTGCTGAGACTCGGCCCCACCCAAGCAGCAGGGGTGAAGGAGGGACAGAGGGTGTGGGCAGCTAGTACGTCTCCTGTGCTGACGTCTCTAGGTCCTGGAGACAGACATCAGAACTCTGGCTACCAAGTAAAGCCCTTGACCCCAGGGCAGAGCCCCACAGCCCTGAAAGCCTCTCTACAGCCTACTGTCTGCAGAGCATGCCCTACTATGAGGCTCGCCGAGTCACGTTAATTGTTCTCACTTAA